ACTCTGCATTATTTAGTCATTATCCCAACTCAAATATACATTTTTTTAATACTGTAACATTATTTCATCCCTTCTGCAATCTCATCAGGGGGTGGGAGGTATAAAGTTTTTTAAATACACTGGTTTTCTATACTATGTATCATTTGCTTGTTCATTGGAAGAGGCTAGGATATAACATAGTATTATACTCTCCTTGCGACAGTTGAGTGGCCTCATGACTGACAGTTCACATTTCCATGCTCAATTCCTTTAACTACAGCTGAGGAACACCACCAACAGCAGTTCATTTTTTTCCCCCGTTAAATTCATTGGTACATTTAAAGCAAACAATACAATTGCATTTATCATTGGGATCTTGTACCTTTACATGATGTATCTTGGTCAGTATTTTTCCCTTATTTCTGCCCTCCCTTCACTGCCTTCACTCTACCCTATGTACAAAAACTTTGTTTCCATTTTGTCCTTTTCCCTTACTTCTTTCCCCCTCCCCTTCCCCACTTCTCCTTTAACCATTTTCTTCCTATTTCACACTATCAAATATGCCACTTTAACCTTGCTCCAGAAGACAGCAGTTTAATCTTAGGACTGTCCACATACACTTGGAACATAGGGTCTCGAAAAATAGCAAAACTCAAAACCTAGAGTTGTAATAACGGTCTTCTCAATCAGAGAAGTTTGAAGTTGATTGTTCTAATTCTTGATCATGATGCATAGTTGAATGGTTGCTGGCAGAATTTGAATGGAGAAATTCGACATTTTCAAATGGCTTCAAAGTGTCAGTTTGGGATGATAGAGAGTTTCTGCAAGTGTATGATAGTGATGGTTACCCAAAGTGTCATTAAAAATATGGGGAAAAATGAGAACCAAGATCTGTTATGTAAAGGTACAAAAGATCCCAAAGATGAATGTAACTGTACTGTATACCTAAAAAGTACCAAAAAGCTCAATGAGAAAAATAAATAATGCCACCAAACTCTGTACTAAAAAATGGTAGTAGTATTCTTTAATAGAGTTTAACACAAAGAGAAAAACACTATAAAAATGAATGGATCATTTTTTAAAAAAATCATGAATAAAAAGAAAAATTACATAGCAAGCCTTACCTTCTTCCTGAGATGTAGGGTTCACAACCATTGTGAACCCCCACAATATCTTGTTCCTCATCTTTTTATTTTAGGTGGTCCTTCAGGATTAGGTAACCTTGGAAAAATGTGGGTAAATGTGAGTTTGGACAGCAAGCATCCAAGGGCATATGAAGTAAATCATCATCTTCACCCTCCACCTCTTCAGTTTGAATACTGCAGGCCCATATGCAACATATCAGCTTATCTTCATTCCAGTTTTCAGCAGCAGGACACTCCCAGTGTCATTATATTCATTTCTGTCCCAAGTGTAGACCATCAGCCTTCATTGTCCATCATTCAGTTATGGGGTGTGAGATCCACAGCATTAACCATGACCCAGAAGAGACACAGAAAATCCTAAGGGGCAGGAAGAATGGAGAAAGGATTAATAGAATTATTATGTCTTCATCATGAGGACAAACATTGATGCTTAGAGAGTGAGATGGGAGGACACTAATTTTCCAAATTTCAGGGACCAGTTCTGTTAAGTTTATATATTTGATTGCATTGAAATTCCAAGAAGCCTCAGTCAAAGTTTTAATTTTCACCCACAATGGTCCTACTTTTCCTATAGACATCATATCCACGCTGTGTAGTTTGCCCATTTTAGAAAACAAGCATTTTTTTTCTACTTGTTTCAACTCTGTGCTAATTCAACTCTGTCAAAATCTTCCAGAAAATATTTGATATCTCAGTCATTACATTGTGGTCACCTCAGTGCTGAATCCTTTGTCTATAGCCTGAACAATAGAGGCATTAAAAGTGTTCATAGAAGACCACTCTAATTTTAGGACTGAGATGACAAGTTTAACTTCAGAGTCACATAAGAAACTCCAAATATAAATAATTTAATAGGAAAAATAAAGGAATGATGGAAAGAAATCAGTAGACAGACATAATAGAATTGTGGTAAGCAGTAAAGTGGATAAAAAATTGGAGCTTTTAAATAAAGAGTAGATAGTTCCATTTTTGGAAGATGAAAAATTTCTGGAGTTGGGTGTTGGTGGTAGTTCCTCTATGATGAAATTGTAATGAATATCACTAAATTGTATGCTTGACAATTTTGAAAGTCATAAACTCTTCTTTGGAATTTAAATTTCACCATAATAACATGCCAATAAATATCAATGAATTTTAAATAACTGAACAATGATAGTAATAATATATGTCTTGCTCTACTGAAACGGAGCCACAAAACATTTGTGGAAACTGATTTCCAGTTTTCCTCTTCCACAATTGATATTACTATGTCCTAAGTGTTTGTGACAACCTGAGCCAATTTGGCTAATTATGACCTCTATGCAGTTAGCTTCAAAGGTCATATAATAGTCAGTAATCAGCCCAGGCTTGCAGCCCTTCAGTGGGATGTCTCTGTTGAAATTGGCTTCATAGGAGTCTCCTCTTCCATGGATTTTCTGCACTGGGAAGCCCCCATCAGAGACACATAGACATCAAGCCTGAGGACAGAACCATCATCCATGCTTGATGCTGAACAGATGAATGTGAGATTCATGCTCCTTGATCATGACCAACTTCAGCTGCAGTGCTGATTGGTAAGTGCGGAAGCAGATGAAGGGTGTAGGAAAGACTGCCTGGTGCTTTGTTTCCTACTAATTAGGGCAAGCAGAGTTTGTGTAGGATGATTGGAGGACAATAATGTGAGGGTGTCAGATATGAGGCCTGAGAAGTTTATGATCTGGGTTGTGGGTTCAAGTTTTTGCTTTCTTCTCAGAATGGTTCTACTCCCTACAAATAATGCATCAGCATTGGTAACAAATAGATCCAATTAAACTGTTTCCTAAACACTGCAGGGCATTTGGGAAGATGATAATGCAGAGGAGGGGCTGGATGAGAGAACTATTCATAATTTTACAGACACAATCCTGAGTGTCAGGTGCTGATTTCTGTGTTTCTCACTGAGTGGATCGACTCAGCTGCATAGTCTTCTCAGATTATATACACCAAGTTATGTTTATTTCTTACTTCTTTAGGTGGCATGGACTTTTTCTTGTGTAAAAACATACTGTGTATTTGGAGAGGAAAGATTAACACTCTTTAATTTCTGATACTGCAGAGCCTATACAATCTGTGGCATAGAGAAAACATCAAACATAAAAATGAGTGTTAATCAGTTACTGATTGGTTGACCACCATCAAGGTGACATCAATATATTTGCTTCTTTTGTGTCTACACATTTACCGCTTCTATTATGGATCCGTCAAAGTAGAAAGGAGATAACATAGCTCTTTGTGATTATGTCATGGATATTGGCCCAGTTATTCTATTTAAGTTCAGTGCCAACTTAAAATTATTAAAATAATATATCAGTGTTTCATAGGTACCAAATAGATAAAGCCTTCAAAGGTAAGCCCTAGCCTAAACTTAAGCTTTACACTAAGACCCATTAATGTTTTCACATTATTTGATGACCCCAGTGATCTTTAACAATTGTAATCATCTTCAAATCACCATTTCCTTAGTGTAAGAATCCTTAATGAAAAGAAAGCCATAATGACCAAATATTTATTTGTTCCCAAATTCAGATCATAAGGTACACTAATTCTTTTTATTTTTCCATTAAATTTATTGGTACATTTAAGGCAAACAATACAGTTACCTTTATCATGGGGATCTTGTACCTTTACAAGTGCCTGATATGTCTTGATTCTTATTTTTCCCCATATACCTGCCCTCCCTTCACCCTTCCCTATTTACAAAGATTTTGTTTCCATTTTTTCCTTTTTTAAAATTTTTTCTTTTCCTTTATTTCCTTCCCCTCCCTTTCCCACTTCCCCTTTAGCCATTTTCTTCATATTTCACACTATCAATTATATCATTTTAACCTTATTTACACTTTTAGTTTTTCACACCAGAGAAATTCTTGCAATGAAACAGCATTATCATTTGGCAGTATGAACACATAGAGGAAAGATTAATAATCATTTAGAATACTATACAGAAACAATTATTCAGGACTAATATGCTCATTTCTTGAGTTCCAACTCAGAAGATTGTCACTTCTACTAGAGTCAAATGAAAATAATATTTTCAATGTAAAATGAAAGTTTTTGTTAAATTATTTAGGAAAGATTATTTCCACCTGGGCCTCAAGTATATTTGTAGCTCTTAATAGTAAGAGGAAACAGATATAGTTTTAATGACTAATTGTTCTCAACACTGCTTTAGGAAAGAGCCACAAAGAAATTCACCTACAGACATTTGGATCAAAGTTGTTATGATTACAGCTGATAAAACCGATTTATTAATTCATTTTTCTCTGCTTTACTGTTTTGTCCTGTTTCCAAATTATATCATAGAGAGGACTGTCAAAATACACGTGTTTTGGATTACATCTTATATTTTTATGAATATTAACTGTTAACATTAAATAAATATGGCGATATTGTTGTCTAAACTTTTAGGGATTTCATTAGTTTTTGAATTATGGGAATATTTATCCTTGATTTTGATAGAACTATGGCAAATTTGAGTGCTTCTTGAATTCCTTCATAATGATTTTTTTTAAAGGAGCAAAACTATTATTTATTTTTAATTTGTAATAAAATAGGCTATATTATAGTGACATTATGACCTTCTTGTCTCCAATGTTGGTATTGTGATATTTGCTCAGTCGAGAGTTGCAAAGATGGGTGTGTGCAAGACAACATGAGTAATATACTATAAATAATGGAAGATTTATAAAACTTTGGTTCAGTATGAGTGGAAAATTTTACCTAAGTTGTAGAAGCTGGGAGATTCTGTACTTATAAGTATGAAAGTATAAAACCCATAGTGTACTGGATGCCTAATTATTCATTTAAGTTTTCCATGCTTTTTAAAAATAGGTGTCCAAACAATACAAAAACCTGAAATCTAACATCTGTATTAGAATTCCATCTCACGAATCTCTCAGAGGATCTGGATCTCCAGCCCATTCTCTTTTTGCTCTTCCTCTCCATGTACCTGGTCACTGTACTTGGGAACCTGCTCATCATCCTGGCTGTCAGTTTTGAGTCCCAACTCCACACCCCCATGTACTTCTTCCTCGCCAATTTGTCTTTAACTGACATCTGTTTCATCTCCACCACTGTTCCAAAGATAATTGTGGATATTTTAACACACAAGAGTGTCATTTCCTTTGTTGGCTGCCTGACACAAATGTCTCTGCTGATTCTTTTTGCATGTATGGATTACATGCTTCTGACCGTGATGGCCTATGACAGGTTTGTGGCTATCTGCCAACCCCTGCAGTATTATTTTATTTTGAACTTTAGCCTCTGTGTCTTCTTTGTTTTCATATCTTTTTTATTTAGCGTTATGGACTCACAATTGCATAATCTAATTGTCTTAAAATTCACTTACTTCCAGGATGTTTCAATTTCCAGCTTCTGCTGTGAACCTACTCAAATTCTTAAGCTGGATTGTACTGAAAACTTTACCAAAAGCATCATTACTTATTTTGCTGGTGCCATAATTGGTTTTTTACCCATTTCAGTAATATTATTCTCTTATTATAAAATCATTTTCTCTATTCTCAGAATCCCATCATCACGTGGGAAGTATAAAGCTTTCTCCACCTGCGGGTCTCACCTGTCAGTTGTTTGTTTATTTTGTGGAACAAGCATTGGGATGTACCTTGAATCTACTCTAGCACATTCTTCTGAAAAGAGTGTGGTGTCTTCTATAATGTACACTATTGTGACTCCTGTGCTGAATCCCTTCATCTACAGCCTGAGGAATAGGACGTTAAACATGCCCTAAGGAGGCTAAATAGCAGGAAATTCTAGAATCAGCACCAGAGGCAACCAAACAAAATTTGGACTGAAGGAGGCATCATTTTTAAATCTCTAGTTCTGTAAACTCAAGCTTCTGAAAATTTTTGTAGTTTGGATACTTTAGTTTCTCAGCATATGTCATATCAGAATGGTAGAAGATATGTTCATGAGATGGGCAGAATGCATTCTGATTAAAATGAATATACATTTTAGTTTTAAAAATTAAACATTTTTGGATACACATCATTGTGATGCAGATCAGTGAGGATGTGAGTAATACTGAAAAAATGATTAAATGCTCATTGTTACACACATATGTATATATACACATGTATGTATATATGGGTTTTATATATGTGTATATATATGTGTGTGTGTGTGTGTGTGTGTATATATATATATATATATATATACATATTTTTTTTATTAAAAAATAGAAATCAAGTAAATATTACATGTAAACTTCCTTCTGAATACAGAAATATACCAAAACTATATAGATAGTTATTTTCTGATCCATCCATTCCTCGATATGCATTAAGAGTTTATCAATGATTCAGATGAATGAAACATGTTAACCATGGCTGCTGGGCATTGGTCCTTTAAGGTAATATAATAGTAAGTGATTAACCTATGGCTACAGCCCTTCCATAACTCCATACTTCTATCTCTGCTTCTTGGATTTGCTGAGGAAGGCTTTCAATTGCAGAAGAAAACTCTTATTTGACATGGTGAGATGCTAAAGACAAGGGCTGAGCCTTCACTGGACTCTTGGTGGGGAGAGACATTGAGTCTCCATTTCCTTGTTCATGACATAGGCAAAATGCGGAGTAATCCAGTAAGTGTGAGTAAGACTAAGGATGGAAGAAAGACTCTCTAATGCTCTATTTCATTACCATGAAGAAAAACAAGGCAACATGGTGGCCTATATGCAGTATTTTAGCTAAGAGTACCATGAAGTGTTGGTTCTTGGGATCCATATTTCAAAACTTATCCTTAATATAAATTATTTGCTGACCTTGGACCCTGTATCTACTTCCAATCAACATCGTCCATGATCCCTGAAAACGTGTTCCTCTAATTTGTTTTCTTAGGACTCCCAAAATTTTATTAACTTGATTAGGGAAAGAAAAATAACAAAATAATGACATCAGGTGCCATGTTTCATGGCTTTCAATGTGCCAGGCTTTGATCTATTTATCATGCACAGCTTCCTTCTTTTCACCTGCACAGTCCCATATTGTTGTTTTATAGGAAAAAAAGGAGTCTGTTTTGTAACATCTAGTATGCTTTAGGTAGAACAAGATGACACTTTGTAAAAATTAATCTGTTTGAGCAATGACAGAGGGCATTTTTACTGGAGAGTGGTAGCATGGACATGCATTGACAATGTAACCAGGCACTTCTGGTCCCTATCACTACAGAAAAAACTTTCCTGTTCATGGAGCCTTTCACAGTGGGAGGTGGGGCAGCTGACAGTGCAGAGTGGTAGGTGGCTCTTGCTGTGGCTATCATGGGAAGGATTGCTCTAGAATACAGGGAAAGGGCTGGGGAATTATCTCAGTGTGGCCGCTGCCTGCCTCTCAAGTGCAAGGTTCCTAGTTCAGTCCCTGGTACCAAATAAATAAATATTATACAGGGAAAGGTAAGATAAATATGTACACTGTGGAGTCATCTGCTTTTTGGGTTGCTTGACACCGATGCACCATTTCATCCCTTTTGATGGTATGAGTGGCATGCATGTGATGGTGATCGCCTTTGACAGGTTTGTGGCCATTTCTCACCCCTTGTATTACACTTCAGTGTGAACATTTATCTGAACTGTTTTTTAATTTGAGTTCATTTTTAATCACCATTAGCATTGCAAGCTGCACAATGTATTTGTCTTATAATTTTCCTAATGAAAAGATATGTAAATTGTTCATACTTTGCTACACTTCCAAATTGCATAATCTCACTTGACTTGTTTTTATTTATTTATTAATTTTTGTACCAGAGATCAAACTCTGGACCTTGCACTTGGGAAGCAGGCTGCAGAAACACTGAGCTAAATTCCAGGTCCTCACCTGATTTGTTTGACGACTTTAACAATTATATAGTCTTGAGCTTTCTGGAGCTATATGTTTTTACTTTTATACCATCTCTTACTAAAATTATTTTTCCAATTCTGAGATCCATCATTGGGAATTTTTTCCATGAAGTTTCACTGTACATCTTAGGTATGTAATACAGTTACATTCATCTTTGAGATCTTGTACCTTTACATGATACATCTTGGTTTTTATTTTTCTCCATTCCCCTGCCCTCTCTTCATCCCCCACCCTTCCTTATTTGCAAAGACTTTGTTTCCATTTTTGTCTTTTCTCATAATTTTTTCTTTTCCCATCTTAACTTTCCACTACCACCTCCTTAATGTGATGAAAGGTTTCACCTGTCTGATTTTTTTATTTCATGTAACAGATATTGGAATACCTCCATTGTATTATTCCATAAATGGCTAGGATTAGAGGTTCCATTTGACCCAGCCATCCTGCTGCTAGGTATCTTTCCAAAAGAATTAAAATAATCATATCACAATGATATATGCACACCTATGTTTATAGTGGCACAGTTTGTAATAGCTAAAACTTGGAAACAGCCCAATTGCCCATCAGTTGGAGACTGGATAAAGAATATGTGGTTTTTCTATAAAATAGAGTACTACTCAGCCATAAAAAATGAGAAACTAGAGTCATTCACAGGAAAATTGATGAATATTGAGGTCATATTCTTAAGTGAAATAAATAAGTAACACATGTGTAAATACTGAATAGTTTTTTCTGGTGTGAAAAACTATAATCATGAATAACATCCTAATGGTATAATTAACAATGTGAAATAAGAAGAAAAGGGCTAAAGGTTTTTGGGAAGTAGGAAGGGTAGGGGAAGGAAAATAAGGGAACAGAAAAAAATCTGAGAAAATGAAAAAAATGGAAATAAAGTTTTTTGTAAATAAGGAAGGGAGAAGGGGGTGAAGGGAGGGCAGGGGTATGAGGGCACGATTATTCTATAAATGGGATTATAATTCATTACATTGTGGTCATTCCTGATGAGTCACTTCGTCTCCACCTTAGAGAAAATAATGCTAAAATGTTCCAAGTAGGCACTCCTGTAGGCCAGTCTAATTCAGTACATGTGACATCCACTGAAAGGAAAATTGGGAACAATACCAAAATTTAATATAAAGACCTGTAAATCTTGCCTCCTTGACTACATTATTTTGGCAGTTCAATGGTGTGAATTCAACAACATGGTTCATGGTAGAATGATAGCTTCAAGAGCTGTGTAGGGAAAGAGTATTTTAAATTTTAAAGTTTTAAAATTGGCTATACATTTTTAGTTTGTGAACTTCAAAAATATTCAAAAGGGAAAGGAAACTATGGAAGAAGGGCAGGGGATGTAAATAAGAAAAAAAAAAAAGGGAAAAAGCGTTTGTAAATAGGGAGGGCTGGAGGGCCTGAAGGGAGGGAAGGGGAATGGTCAAAAATAAGAACTAAGATATATACACATAGGTAAAAATTCACATCGATGAATGTAATTATATTGTATGCCTAAAATGCACCAATAAATTTAATTTAATTAGTTAAAAAAGTAAGGGTATTGATGATGGTGATGGTTTTAAAACCCACAATTAATGGTATTTTATTAATGATACTGAAATTGTGTACATAATATGGTTGATGTAAGTTTCCATTGTGTATCTATTAAGATACAAAATAGAAATAAATAGTACATGTGTTGTTTTTAAAAGATAGAAATGTAATAAGTGAATAAAATACACAAGATTCCTAAGTATGGTATTACATAAAATATACTTGTTGATGTTATTTTTCCTTTTGTCTCCTACCTTCTTTAGTGATATAAAGTTCTTAGAGATTGGAGAACAGGTACAAATGTAAATAATTATGGGCTCTTAGCACTGTGCTCCACAGTCATATAATGATTAAGAATAACTTGTCACTCCAGCTCTTCATTTGTTTATTGAAATACACATGGCTTCATATCTGTGCTTCCTATTCCATTCATGGCTACATCAGGATGCTCTTATCTGACTTTTTATTCATAGAAACACTGAGAACTGTAACTGAGACTTCAATCCTCAACAAGCTTGGAGGGCTGGACTTAGGATCTGTACTCACTGGTCATGACACAGCAGAAAAGTGGCATAAACCAGTAATGGCAAAGGGAGGACATTAATATACCAAAGTCTCTTGGAGTAATGGTTGATTCATCTAAAGTACAAATATGACAGTCTTGATAGCCAGATGGGGAGAGTATAATATTTGATGTTTCCACTACAACGAATGAATGGATTCCCTTGATTGTGTCAAATGTACTGCAAAACTCCTTTAAAATTTGCTTTACACACTCGTTGCTTCTGCTTGTCATAGATATCTCACCAACAACATCAGAAGTTGGTTCTCTTTAATTTGTTTCCTAGGCAGTCTAAAATGATTGTTGAGGTAAAGATAAGAACAAGGAGGTGGCTGACAACAGTCATACCATCCGGAACTGTTATCATCAATTAGACTGAGCCTAGTGCATGAAAACATGAACAAAAAATATCTGTTAAACATTGATAGAATCTCCACATATTTACAAAGACAGAGCATAAGCACTGTGGCTTCCACACAACTTGTTTATCACAGTTAATATCCAGTGTATAGTATCAGACTACAGTGCAGTTAAACTGGAGATCAATATCATAAGAAACCACAAGAACTTCACAAACACATGGAAAATGAATAACCCTCTCCTGAACAACCAGTGGGTCACAGCAGACATTAAAGAAGAAATTAGACTTTTATTAGCATGCAGGAATTTATGGGACACAGAGAAAGTAGTTTTAAAAGGGAATTTCATAGCAGTGAATGCCAACACTGGAAAAACAGTGTGTACAAATAAACAACCTAAAGGTGATTCTTAAGCTACTAGAACAAGACGAGC